TCCATCTTCTCGTCCACGGCAAAAACAACAAGTCTTCCTCATGCTTTCTTCAAACGAGTTCTCCACCTGCCTCTCCTCCTCCTCCTCTTCTTTAATGAACTCAAATCCACCTTCTCTACCAGTTTCACAGAACTGTTGGTGTACTGTTGTTACTCCCAAATTCCCACAATTCTTAGCGTGTATGACATGTGCTGTAATGGGATGGTCCAATGGCGATTCCCTGGGAGTCCAGCACTTGATTTGTTTTTGAGTTTTCCTACAGTTTGTCAGAATTTGGTTCTAGTTCAAACACATTTCTTAGGTTTTGCACAATTGATATTAAAAACCAAGCTCTTCTCCAGGAGTGTAGCCCGAGTTGAGTATCTTTTCCTTTCCTTCTGTGAGTGCAGCAGTGTTGTAGGCCAAAAAAAACAAAAACAAAAAAAAGAGAGAGAAGAGAATGAGAGAAAAGGCAGAGTGCAGTGTTCTCCTACAGAGACAGCAGCTCGTCAGGGTTGGACCTGGGATGTTTTTCACCAATGTTTACCATCAGTACACTTGCACACCGGTGAGGGAGACTGAAGTGCCTGACCCTGGACTGACCCAAGTCCAAGTCTTGATACCTATAGTGATGTGACAGCAGCATTGTGGGGGTAAATAATGGAGGTCTCTGTGGTCCAAACAGCTTTGGGGGGTTTGGCTGTCTGATTGTTTGTCTGACTCCTGACTAATGATGCTGTCAACACACCACAGAGGCTGACCTTTTACCAACTGCTTCTACCGTGGCGTTCGTGTGTATGTGAGTGTCAATGTGGCGGAATAACTAATGGCTGAACAGCAAAAAAAGGCAGAGCGGCGGCGAACGAGGCAGACGCCCAGACTGTGACTGTGTTTGTTTGGATGTGATGTAATCGGTAAATAAGAAGAAGGAGACGAAAGAGAGGGAACGACTTTCTGCTCAGGAGAAATTTGGAACACTAACACACATTGTGTCCCGCAGATGTTTACAAACACAGTCATGTTTCTGAATGTGACTATTTTTTCATTTTTCATCCGATACAGTCCTGTCTGTCTCTGAAGCACACACTGGGAAGCACCAGAACAACACACTCCGCCCACAGCGTCGCTTCTTTTGGAATGCTAAACAAGTGAAGCGTATGTAGACACAAAGGCTGTAGCTACCGCCATCTCCTGCAGGGGGCGCTGTAAATGCAGTCTAATTTGCCTTGTTGATCGGTTTAGAGTTTAGGTTGCAGTAAATTTGATCCTCAAACTTAATACTCGGTATTTCGAGAGATCACTACATTGTTTTCTTTAAAGGCCTATGAATTAGTAGTGCTAATATTTTGAATTAATGAGAGTTCACACTCTGTTGTTCCATATTATCCCCGACAGACGAGAGGCTGTTGAGGAAACCTGTCAAAGAGCGTTTGATTGTGGAACGACACTTCAATTTTTTTATGTTTTTTTTTAAATGCAAATGCTGTGTTCCCAGCTCCTCACAGCAGCGTCAACCTTTCCACGACCTTCACCGAGTACCGCAATTAATCAAACGCGTCTTAATCCTCGCCTGCGTCCTGACACCTGCAAGGAATTTCTCTCCGTTTCATCACATTTTTCAATGATTCACCCTCTCCCAACGCTGATTTTTCACTAACTCATCATATTGTACCAGTAAATTTTACATATTCCCTGTTGCTCCTGTTTTGTCCTCACATAACATTCGATATGATAATAAAGAAGGAAATGATCTAATTATGCATTTGGTTCAAATTCAGGATGTTGTGATGGAGAACAGGTGAGGTGACGCGGTTTCATCAAGTCAAATTAAAACCCTCAAAAAATGTGACTTTGACCCAGAAACATCAACAAAAAAACCTGGATCCTCGGTCGGTGGCACAGCAACAGTAGAGCTGAATATAAAATATTCTTTAGTTTGCATATTTATGGGGAACTTCTACACCAGGCCTCCGTCCCCACAAAGCTGCTGCATCATGTCAGAGTAGGATACAAACCTATGAATCACATTTTAGAAAGAAATAAGATTTGATAAAAAAATTGTAACATCTTATTAGCTTTCAAACTTTTACTGAATTAACGGTGTGTGTTTTTCTTTGCAAACTAACATCCTCCTGGCAGAGCTTTTCCTTCCACGTCACCTCTCCTTTTTTCTCCAGCAGGATTTTCATCCTTCTTCTGATTTTTATATCGATTTCTATCCTCAGAATTTTCTCACATGATATATTTTGTGGAACTGCCAAGATTTTCAGATTCTTTTTTTTTTCTGCCCTCTGTTTTTCCTCTTCTCGATCCTCTCCGCTCCTTTTTTTCTTCCATACTGCCAGAGAGTTTTCCAAGGAAAGAGAGAAAGCCAAGGCACGCGGTGACTTCCAAAAACTCAGAGAAAAACAGCAGCTGGAGGAGGACCTTAAGGTGAGCTGCTCCTGTCTGTCTGTCTGTCTGTCTGTCTGTCTGTGTGTCTGTCTGTCTGTCTGTCTGTCTGTGTGTGTGTGTGTGTGTGTCAGTGAGGGACGTTGACTCCTTTACTTGAAATATTGTTGGGTTACTGTTTAGAAGAAGGAAAGTCAAATATGGAGGTCAAATAGAAGTTCAATGACATCATCGGTTATAAAGTGTGGAGCAGGAACCCATTTGTTGGGCCTTTTCAAAGGTGACAACCTAATTTACAGAAGGAATTAGAAAGTTCTGTCTGTATAATCTGTGTGTGTGTGTGTGTGTGTGTGTGATTACAGGGCTATTTAGACTGGATCACTCAGGCTGAGGACATTGACCCAGAGAATGAAGAGGAAGGCCTGGATGATGACAAACCCAGAAACTGTGAGTAGAATGTGTGTGTGTGTGTGTGTGTGTGTGTGTTTGGTGTACCTGTACTTTTGGGGACATTGTTTTTTTGGAGGACTATTTGTCCTTGTGGGGACATTTTGCAGGTCCTCACAGAGGGACAGGGTGTTTGAAGGTTGAAGACTTGGTTCAAGCTTGGAGTTGGATTAGTATAAGTGTGTGTGTGTGTGTGTGTGCTTTGTCCTTATCAGTGAATAATGTGCTGTGGCATCGTTCAATATCCAAAGTTATATCACTGCTAGTGTGGATGACCTGAAAGCAAAATCTTTGGAAAAAGAAAACAAGAGAAATTCCACCCACAAAATGTGGAAACATTGAACTTGGACCAGGTTTTCAATAATAATAAAATGTGTTCACTTGAAGTAGAAATATTCACTAACAATCATTTCAAAACGTCCAAAAATGTTAAAAATTAATCACTGAATTTTTTTTTTTTTTAAGACACCGGATTTATTTTCATAGTACTTTTCCCTGTAGTACTAAGGTTGAAGTAAAACATCCAACTGGATTTAGTTTAGTTTCCCCTGGACTTCAACACACCCTGTGGCGCTGTGACCTTTGCTGTCCACCCAGGCAACGAGCGTTGGATCTAACTTGCTGGAAAATATGGACTTGGTTTTGTTTATATTTATTGGTACTGCCAAAAACTTTATGTATTTCACACAAAGAAACGTGTTAAATCCTGAAACGTCAAATAGCTGCTGTGATGCGTTGGTGGTGTGAGGGTAGTTCAGCTGTTTCTCAACGTCTCTTGTGATTTAACCCAAAATATTTTTGTCCTCTCCTCCTGATTGCTGTCATCTCTGTGGTCTCTGAGTGTCATCTCCGTCTCCTGCCTGTACTGTATGTTTCAGTCCTGTTCTCACCTCTCCTCTCCTCCCCTCCTGCTCCTCCTTGTCCTTCTCCGACGGCCAGTTGATTTGTTGTCAGAGGGGCTGATTGTCCTCCCTCTCAGCCTTGAGTTTTGTGGAGGGCTCAGGCTCACTGCAGTCTGTGGGAGGTCTGTAAATTGTAGCTACAGGAAATGACATGAGCTACACTGTGTGTGCCACCGAATGACTCCAGTCTCAACATGTTTGTGCCGAGGTCACACACCACAATGGCCGCCAAAGAAAACTTGTATAAAATGTCTTTCTTGGTCCCGTGGAACTCCCTACGTTTTGTTTAATATATAATATATTTATGTATTTCTACAATGCACACACAGATTTCTTACTATATTTATGTATTTCTACAATGCACACGCAGATTTCTTACCATCATCTATTTTCGTAAAGGAGGTTTCCCTGTTCCTCTTGTTTCTGAATTTAGCTCTTCACGTCACCGGCTTTGTTGTGTGCTTTCCGTTTGTAGTGCTGATGCAGGAGATTTAAATGACACAGCTATTCTTCAGGCAAGTGTGTAGTTTTTAAATAGTAAAAAAAAAAGGTCAAACGGGAGTAAGAGCCAATCTGTTTACTCCAGTTTTGACTTCAAGAAAAACAAAATAGCTAAAAATATTGTCACCAGGAAATTATTGATTAACTTCTTCGCGTAGTTACAGTATTGTTAGCAACTGCGCTAAGAGTGAACCAGACGAAGAAAGATGTTGGATGCTGCTGTGACTATCACTGTGATTTAAAAAAAAGAAAATTGTACTGTATTGATCCCATATTTGGGAATTTGTTGTTAGCAGCAGATATGCTGTTGACAGGCTGACTAAAAAACCGACTAAAAAATTGGATAATTCAGGTTAGCAGAGGATGGTTTCGATCCATCGACCTCTGGGTTATGGGCCCAGCACGCTTCCGCTGCGCCACTCTGCTGTTGTAAGTGCCATGACATCAACCGTAGAATGAAAACGTCCATGTGAGCCTTTTTTTCAGTAGCAACAAGCAGGTATTTGTGACACGCAGTTAAAAGTAAATAAGTGCCTTTTTTTCAGTAGCAACAAGCAGGTTCTCCGCACTTTTATAATGACTTGGCTAAATATTTGTGACACGCAGGTAAAAGTAAATAAGGTTGACAACAACAGGCTACACAGATAGACCAGAAGCATTACGCTAGCCTTGCTCTACTTTTGCTTTTTGCAAAGTGTAGTTTCAGTCGAGGTTCTTCAGCATATACCATGGTGTCTCGTAAAAACTTGTCCATGTTGCATTGTCCTTGCAATGATATCGTTAGCATGTCCATGGGTGAAGCAGTAATGTGTTTGGTTGTATCTCTCGTAAAAACGTGTCCATGTTGCATTGTCCTTGCAATGATATCGTTATGTCCATGGGTGAAGCAGTAATTTGTTTGGGTGTCTCGTTGTTGTTGCTCTCCTGTGGCACGTATGTGTATATTTAGGGGATTTAGACATGTTTCGACCTTCCAGACACACGTCCACCACTGCCCATACACACTGAAGCATGCTGGTCCTGAACATTCTGTGCCGCAGGAGGCTGAAACTGGCCTCTTGATCCCAGAAAGGATTAATGGAACTCAGGAGAGGAACACGGAGACAGGGAGACAGTGGTGTTTTGTCTGCATTAGTTCCACAAATGTACTGTTCAATATGTACAGTATGTACTCAGAGCTCTTGTACGAAGGCTTAGAACTCGTGCTTTGGTGCACTGATGGTGAATAATTGACTAATAATGACCACAGAGCCTGTATTCTACACACTATTTACACAGACACACTTCATCCTTTGACCGAGCGCTGTGGCTCATTCAGTCAAAATCAACCACTGAAAAAAAAGTCAAAGACTGATGTATCTTATCTTTGGTGATTCTCAGGACAGTTACACCAAACACCCTGCAGTTGATCTGCTGGTTTTCCACTTACAGCTGTGCCTTCCTCATGTTAATCAGGTTGGAATCGGCAACTCGGCAGCATAACAAACACAGGCATATTAACGAAAGAACAAATTGAGTGTGATATCCCCTATTTGAGCCAATTTAGGAAATGTCGAATCACAATAATAAATGTTTCCTTCTCTCGGCCGTTGCAATCAATGATATGATGTAAAAACAAGGGGAACGGTTGTTTTTGCTGAAAAGGCCAGAGGAAATGTACGACAAACGTTTTTTGGTTTTCAATGAAATCTGCCATAAAAGGAGCTCCAGTGGTTGTTATCTAATGGCTGCCATTAGATAAAGATGATCTGACATAATGATGGATATTAATGATCCATGAGAGCACTCTGTCATCTGTTTTGTTTACAGAAGTGGAATATTAAGTTACTTGCTCTTCAGAAGTGGAATATTAAGTTACTTGCCCATTCTGCGGCTCTCGCCCCCTCCCTCCCTCCCTCCCTCCCTCCCTCTCTCCCTTTCCCTCTCTCCTTGATGTACTGATCCTCCTCTGGGAAGATGAATGAGGGCAGTTCGTCCCCGCTGCCCAGGACATTTTATGGTAGAGAGACACCAAGACGGTCAAGGAGAAGATAAGTGAGAGACAGAAGACAGATACAGAGACAGATAGATATAGTAAACATCAGTTGTGTGTGGGTGTGTGGGGACAGCGGGGGGAGGGCGGTCTGGCGTGGCTGATTTTACAATCACGTACAGGGTCTCCCAAGCGATTACATCTTGCCATGATAGTCTTGAGACAAAAAAAATACAGGGACATAACGGTGAGGCATGATGTGTTTAGTGTCGCGCGGGAAGATAAACGTTAACAGTTCCTCATGACGGTGGTCCTTAGAAGATATCGGGTCAGATTGATTGTATTGATCCCAGCTGTTTTTAATCACGGTCCTGGGTGTTCAGCTTGGAGTGGTTAACTGCGATAGTCGGCGTTAAGATGTTTTATTACAACAGTGTCAGGGAGAACATACCAGGCAGAGGCAGAACAGTTTATACCTAACGTCTAAGCTGCGGCCTCATCACAGCCTGCAGATGACATGCATGAGAAACAGGGAGATGGGAGTAAATGTCTGCAACAACCCAGGGTTTTCGGGTGAGTGCTAAGGTGATGATAGGTTTGAAGAATCCTCAGCCGTGCAAATAAAGGCAAAATGACAGGCGGCGAGAGTGAGATGAGAGTTGTTATGGTGCTAAACAGACCGTGATTACAGGTGTGTGTCTGCTGTGTGCAATGACAGCCAGGCATGTCACGACGCAAAATGCAGATGTTAGTCAGGTTGTAAGCATACTTGGTTAAATGTAGACTGAAGTCCTTTGTGTTTTGTTTTATTTTAAATGTATATACAGGCGGAAAAATCATTACGTTTATACAGTTTGTATACTTCATTTGGACAGTGTAGAAGCTAGAATCAAACCCCTGACCTTCTGGATGAAGGATGTCTATTTCAAGGCCATGGGTCTGCAAACACTGAAAAACATAATTTTACCAACAAATTAAATTCATAATTAAAAAATTAAATTACTATCCAATTAAAAATCACATACTGATGTTTAGTTGAAGAGCGCAGTGATGTTATGTTGTTGTGCTGTTGGCAAGAAAGCTGAAAATAAGGTCAAACTTAACACCCCCAACCACTGTGCTGTTTACTCATTAAACTGGTCGATGTGATACGTCAGACATGTCTGGTAAATTTGGTCCATTGCAAAATATGATTTGTTTTGAGTAAATGAATACAAGACGTTAAAGATAACAGGAGCCACGAGTTGAAGATCCCTGCTGTAGTCCAAAGACGTCTCACTCCAACTTTCTCCAACAAAATTGTTTAATGCTTGATCAATAACACGTTTGACACATCAGTGGACACCATACGTCACTGGCTCTTCTAGTCATATTTCACAGTTTATATTCCACTAAACAGGATTGTGGTTTTGAATTTCTTTAATAAGGCCACAGGACTACAGTGGAAGCAAGTTTCAGGTCTAGTGATAAAATGTATGGACTTCCTGATTTACTACCCAAATATATGGGACATTTAAAAACGTCTTCCCACAGCTTCACTTTTTAGCCACAGTTTAAAACTAAATACCGTCCATTTCTTATTTATGGTCTACGGTGTTAACCTGGTTGGAGGCTTCACTGCATTTATTATAAATAAGCTAACGCCCGTGACTCAAATATATTACACACTTGCAGGCACTCGACACACCTAATGTGATGATATACGATGTGAATTCTGTCCATGTTATTTATTTATGAACAGTATATTCATCTTATGCCGTGTTTTCCTTCATGGCTGTGAATCAGCGTAAATGTACCTTAAACTATTTACTTTAGGGTGCAATTCCCTAAAAATCTGTCAAGTTATGAAACAATGGTTCTTTTTTTGTGTCATCCTGTTGTGACTACAGCGTTTTTCTGTCATGCGTGTGAGAAAGCAGTGTTGTGCTTGAGTTTCCTGCTTTGAATGCATATTTTCATAGAAGGAACTGGATTCTATTTCCTTGTGGTAATATTTTGGTTTTACTAACTTGGTTTTGTCCTGCAGCTGTTACATTAAGGCATTGAAAACAGAACAGAGTTTTGTTTCTGGATTTAGCCCAAGGTGTTAGCTCCTGCTGATTTCTCATCAATTATTATGAAACAATTACTGCTATAATTTAAGAAATGAAAAGAAACAGATATTTGTTTACAGAGGTAAGTATAGGTGTATAGATGTATCAAAAAACCTCTGGAACAGGACGTCTAC